AGTGCTTACAATGTTACAATTTGTCATATTAAATTTCTGCAATAAATAATCAATATATTGTTCCTGGTCTAAAGTTACACTATTAGATTTTTTATCAATTTGAACCCTCATACCTAGACATTGTTGAACCTGCCCTAAATTTTTAATTTTAAATTCAGAACTTAACACAGTAATTAACTTTTCAGTTTCAATTTCACAATTTGAATAAACAAAGAAATCATCAACATATACAGCAATAATTACTTTTACATCTTTATGTAATTTTGTGAATACACATGGTTCCAATCGACTCTTATTAAACCCCATTTCACATAGACATTGATCAACTCTTTCATACCATGATCGAGAAGACTGTTTCAGCCCATATATTGCCTTTTTTAATTTTACAATCTTTTTCTTATCCCAAAAAAATATCTGGCTGTATCATATAAATGTCTTCTTTGAGGTGTCCATTTAAAAAAGCTGTCTTAACATCTAGATGTGTTACATTTAAATTTAATTGAACTGACAGAGCAAACAATAATTTCAAAGTAGAGTGTCTGACCACAGGGGAAAAAGTTTCTTCATAGTCCACACCGGGCTTTTGGGAAAAGCCTTTTGCCACTAGACGGGCTCTATACCGAACACTGTTATCACTATTCACTTTCTTTTTGAAAACCCACTTGCACCTCACTAAAGTCTTATCTGAAGGTAATTCGTCCACAGAATCCCAAGCATCATTGTCCTTGAATGCTTGTAGTTCCTCTTCCATCGCCTCAATCCACTTATCTTTGTCCGGACTAGACAGAGCTTCTTGGACGGTAACAGGATCCTGGGTAACTTCCGAACTTGACTTTATGCATATGTTTGTAAAGCCATAACGCTCTGGTTTCCTTCTCATACGCTGAGTAGGAAATGATTCTATCTGCTCATCTGCTTCTGTGGTTTGCTGTAATGCAGAATTCAAATCAGTCAATGCATTTTTTATCTGCCCATCTTGTTTGTTAGCATCTTCCTTAATAATCTCAACATGATTGCCTGACTTATCTGCTTGGATTATGTCCCCAACTGAAACTGTAACACTATCATTTTTCATTTCAGTTATTTCATGGACTACTACATCTCTACTCGTTGTGATACTACGCTTGATAGGATTATACACCCTGTAACCCTTCACATTTTCAGCAAAACCAACAAGGATATGTTCCTTCGACTTAGAATCCCACTTAAGCCGTTTCTCCTTCGGAATGTGCACCATTACTTTACTACCAAATATACGTATGTGGCTTAAATCTGGTTTTCGATTTGTCCAGCATTCGTATGGCGTTTTATTATCTAAGCCTGAAGCAACAGACCGATTTCTTAGATAGACTGCCGTATTTGTGGCCTCCGCCCAAAACTTCTTATCTAATTGTGCATCATCAAATAATAAACAGCGGGCTCTCTCTACTATCGTTCTGTTGATACGTTCACTGACGCCATTCTGTTCCGGAGTATACGCATTTGTTTTTTGATGAACAATGCCCTCATTCTTTAAAAAAACTTTCAAATTCATTGCCACAAAATTCTAGACCATTGTCAGTCCTAAACAATTTTATTTTTCTACTCTGTTGCTTTTCTACTAATGCTTTAAATTCTTTAAAGTACTTGAATACCTCACTTTTAGCTTTAAGAAAGTAAACAAAAGCCATGCGTGTACAGTCATCAACAAAGACAACAAAGTACTTTGATCCTCCTATTGAGCTGGTCTCCATAGGTCCACAAACATCAGCGTGGATTAGGTCCAATGGATTGCTGCTCCTTGCTGGTGCATGAGGAAAGGGTAATCGCGACTGCTTCCCTTCACAACAAATTGTGCAAGTACTCTTGTCAATCTTTGATTTATCCGAGTATGATATACCAGTGACTGCTCCATCTCGCATTTTATTCAAATCATTTACATTAATATGTCCCATCCTCCTGTGCCAGGTCACTTCACTCACAGTTGCAGCTGATGTAAACAAACACTGTTGTTTATCTAGTCTCAACTTGTAAACACCATCTACTTGTATTGCAATTGCCACCAATTCTTTCTTTATATTATAAACACAGCAACAATTGTCCTTGAACTCAACACTATTGCCATTTTTTATCAATTGACTAATTGAAATCAAATTTGTAGTGAGATCAGGTACACACAGAACATCTTTCAAGGTAATCTCATATTTGCAATTTGGAGTGACTGTCATAATTTCCACTTCACCGGTGCACAGGACTGGCATAATACTTTCATTTGCTGCTATAATTTCTTTAATCTTTAGCGAATATGATGCATTATTTATAATATTTAAATCCGGCGTCATGTGCGCACTCGCACCACTGTCTAAATAAAAGTCTTGTTTACTAAAGTTTCCGTTCAGGAAAACAGCCGAAAAAGCATTCGTCTTCTTTACGACTTGTTGCTGATCATTCATTTTACACTGTGACTTGTAATGACCATATTGACGACAACGGTAACACTTAATATTCATTTTTTCTTTGTTATTGTTCATATTCGAGCCGGCCATAGATGACGTACGGCGGCCATGTTGGGTTGAATTGTCATTTCGGCCAGTAGTGCCAACTTTAGAATACTGTTGACGACGACTCTTCTGCCCTCTACTTAAAAAGGCGCCACCGGCGTCATTATTTTCGTTACTACCTTCAAGATCAAGCAATTTTGCTTTCATGACATCTGCAGTAATGGCGATTCCCGAATGTTCGATGGCCATAATCATAGGAAAATATTTTTCGGGTAATCCCGCCAATAGCAAACTTCCAATCCACTCATCGTCGATTTTAAAACCGGTACCAGATAATCTTTGTGCAGTTTCGATGATTTGCGTAACATAAATAGTCATCGAATCACAGTTTTCGAGACGTATTGAAATTAAATTCCGCAACAGGGTAATTCTTCTAGAGAATCCGGAGTCATCAAACATCGACTTTAGTTTTCTCCATAAATTCACGGCACTGGTAGCTTCTTTAATATGCACGTACAATGATGGGTCTATTGTTAAAATCAATCTGGCTTTCGCTTTTTCATCATTATCTTCATCCACGGCTAAAACGCATTTTGATAATCCTTCCAAAACCAACATGTTTTCTATCGCAAAAGCCCACTCGTTGTAGTTTTCTCGGCCTTTTAGCTTTGGAACAGAAGCAAGTAAAGAATTTGAAGCCATTTCTGTTGATTTAATCCTCTGCCTTGAAGCTCACAAAAAAACGTTTCTTTTTATCACTACAGCCTACGCCTATTCTAGCTAAATATCTAACTTTCACAAAGAAACTGTAGATACTAAAACTGATCTAGAAATCTATAGGACATACTGGGCCCATAACCTATTATAATTTATGATTGATTTTAAAATGAAACAACCGTTTTTGTTCGTGGCAGGATGACGAAGGAAGTCTTATATATTGAATACCACAGACAATGCAATAAGTAAAGACATCATAATTTTACACATCATAATCATAGATAATAGTTGGTTTATTTAATGTTTTTCTAGTTAATTTCAACAAAGTTAAATTCAAACATGCTTTATCGCTTCAAGATACTTTACAGTATGAACTTACGCTGCTACTGCGTTGATCGAAATAGATCAATTACTTATTTAAAGTTGACGCTAGCCTATGACATTTGGATTTATAATCTTTCTGTTTCGTGACCATTAAAACACAAAGTTATACACAAGACAATCCATAAATAAGTTTTATTTATCAATATTTTTACAGATTTCATTGGGCCAATTTTGATTTACTAATTTTTCTTGAAATTCAATTAGTTGTAAATTTTTTTAATAATTAATTACGGTAACGATACGGTAGAAATTTTTTTGACTAATTGTTACGTTCCGCGCTTTACTTAATTTTTTTCAATAATGTGTGTTTTGTGGGAATCTAATAGGAAATTGGAACAACCAGTAATGTGTAACGTGTAACACTGATAATGAATTAAAAGATTAAAGATAGACACACACGTACGTCTACAAGTATCTTTGGAAATGATAATGTGCCATATTCGTCCTTTTTATTATGAGTAAAGTATAATTTAACTATTTATATGGTTAGCACTCGTTTGTTATTGTTGTGTTTAAGGGAATATTAAATAGTGTTCAATTGGTCGAAAAATTTTCAAAGTTGTCATTACAGGTAATAATAATTTTATTTAAAACTCGTTTTTGTTTAACATAGTTGACATGATCATGGTAGTCTTTTTTAGGGTGCCGTACACAAAGGGTAAAACGGCACCCTATTACTAAGACTTCGCTGCCTGTCTGTCTGTCTGTCCGTCCGTCTGTCACCAGGATGTATCTGATGATTCTTTGCCGTTTTTATAGAGACTTAATCCTTCGTGCGTGAGTCCGCCTCTCACTTGGCCGGTTTATATGTTTGATGGTACGGAACCCTTCGTGCGCGAGTCCAACTCGCACTTGGCCGGTTTTTATTTTTTGTTCATTCTAGTATTGAAAATTTACAATAGTTAATTTGCGTTTTAATGGTTTTTATTTTTTATTTAAATTCGCAGTATAAGTTGCTATATAAGATAGGGGTGGGGGGTGTCGACCTAGTAATTCGTCAAGCACGAGATACGTGGAACCGTGATGTTTTGAGTTCGATACATCCGAATTAAGTACAACTGACTACGGCAGATGAGCCTAAGTTTTCTATTAAATCTCACTTCGCAACTACGAATCATAATATAAACAATTTTATAGTTTACACGCGATAATTTAGACCGCACTCATTATCCGAATTATTAATAAAATGTTTTAAAATTTTTGTTTTATCTCAAATATAATGAAAACAATTGCTTGTAAGTAGGTGATAAAAATGCCAACAGTTCTCTTAAAAATCCTCAAATGTCTATTGTTACGAAATTACGATCGATATTTTATAGATACTTATATTAAGAAGCTGTTTTTATGTAATGGATTGTATCTAAATTGTAATAAACGTTTAAAAAGTTTTCACTAAAAGAAAATTTATAGAGTGAAAAAATGTCCATGAGCGGCCTTGTACCAGGTGAAATGTCAGTACGCTTGGTATCTTCTTTCAAAATCAAAAAACGCAATGCTGATTGTCTAAATGTTTTGTTTTATTTTATTTTTTATTTTAAGTATTCAATAAACATAACAACAATATCTATAACATTATTAATTCGACATATTATATTTTTAGGCTACCTCACAGACCTGACGTTGAGTAAAGTATGAAACTTCTATTAAATTTCGTGTCGGCCGACCATTGTTAATACTATTTTAGTTTTATATATGTGTAAGTTAATACACATATTATTAAAGAAAAAGGTATATTATGTAACTAATTGCGAAGTGAACGATAAGTCGTTATTATAACATTATTTGTATGGTTATGTAAAGTATTTGATATAGTTTTATATTAGACTCCTTAGAGTATGATAATGGAAATGACATTTATAACTACTGGGACAAAAATTTATTAAATTTATTATAATTTATTATTTTTTTTTATATTGATTCTATTGTTTATTCTTTTTTTATATTGATGTCAAATACTATTACTATGTTTTTTATTAACTTAATGACTGCATGGCAATTCAATTGCTAAAGCTAAATTTGCATGCTGTTAAACAGCTAAATAGGTTAAAGTGACAGACATGTACTTAAACATCTTTGTAACCCTATTTATGGCAAATAAATATTTGAATTTGAATTTGAAGTGAAGTACGATAGAACGGTACCGATATAATGACTACGCCTTATATTAAGTTGTGTATCTTGTTAGTAGTAGTGCCTGTAAACTATTGTTATCGTTACGGTTACACAGGAATAATACAGTTTTAGTTACTAAAAAGTACGTCACATATCACAAAGTAATCCGCTATTATGTCAAATTATCCCAGCGCATTCCAATCTCAAAATTTTTAGACTTGAACGTTACATAATTTTATGTGTCTGTTCTCTATGAGCTCTACAAATTACGTATATTTCGTGCTCTCTAAGTTCGTCCACATCTTCGTACAAGCGCGCACCTAGGTCGTTGTATTTTAAAATTCTAATAAGGCTTAACAAGTGGATTCGTCGCCTGTATTTTTCTAGTGTCATTGTGACAGGAGCGTCATTTAAGACGTTTCAACGTCAGTTGTTTGCTTTACGGCGTCGGTAGCACATTTTGACTGGCTGTATGCAAATGGGTCTAGTGTTAAATGGGGACCGATGTCAACCCGGCGAGCGACCTCTTGCCGTTCTGAATACATTAAGGGGCACACAATTGACTGAACGCTCGATTGTTCGGCTTTGGTTGGTGCTTGTTTTTGTTATTACAGAATGAACACTATCCGTAGATCGCTCCGTTTGCCTCCTTGAGTATTTTTGAAGTTAAAATTTCTTTAGGCGCGCTAAGAACTTTTTGGGTGAACAAAAAGCGTGAAACTCGTGTCAAACGCTTTCCATGAGCTATTTTTAAAAACGGCTATTTGTAGTTATGGTATAGGATATAATTTTATTATTGTTCGGAGTGCCTATAAAATATATAGAAAGTATTATACAATTTTAAATTTGATATGATTGGCAGTCCCCATGAGACTGCCTATGTTTTTTTATTTACTGTAACTATTACTAACTTTCGAATGACATATCTTAATTCGATTCTTATGCTGAATCGTGTTTCGTGGTGGATAATACTAGTTTCTTTAAAATTTTATATGGACAAAAACGTCCTTACTAATATTATAAAGGCGAAAGTTTGTATGTATGAATGGATTTTTGTTACTCTTTCACGCAAATTATACTGAATGGATTTTAATGAAACTTTACAATAATATAGTTTATACATCGGAATAAGACAGGCTATAATTTATATATATATTTTATGTATTTCTATCTTTTTGCCTGAATGTTACGCCTTCAGCCTATTCTACGCAGACGTAGTCGCGGGCAGGAGCTAGTTAAAAATAAAAGAGGTGGCAACGCATCTGCAACCCTACGGGTGTTGCAAATGTCCATGGGCAGGCGGTTTTCACTTAACATCAGGTGAACCGCCAGCACGTTTGCCACTTCTTCACATAAAAAAAATTATAATTAATTTTATTTAACTAATTTATTATTATTAAAACAAAAGGTATAAACTTATATTTACCTTTTCTGCAAATGCCTTAGTGATTCTTAAATGTAATGTTAACTATGAAAAATAGACTATTTTTTAATATTTTCTCTTGTTAATATGGAAATATTCACGTAACATATACAAAATACAAAGAGCCCAACAGCGATAAAAATATATACTGTATAGCTATGTATTTGTTGAGTAAAAAAAAATGACAAAAAAGAGGACCTACCTACCTACGGAGTTTCTTTCGCCTGTTTCTTCTCCGTTAGAGGAACCTCATTACGAAACGGTGGTAGATTTAAAAAACTACTATCGATAAATGAAATGTATATTTCTTATTTCGATGAATATTTGATTTGAATTTTGAATTTGAATTTTGAGCGTATTAATTTGGGTTTCAACGACCGCAGTTCTCTTAATTCCCAGCCCAAAAGTTACATTGCCAATGATTAAGATCTCATCGATTTTTTATCACACTTACAACCCGGGATACCTGTACCACTTTTAACCACAACTAAATTGACCCATCGTTGAAATTGGATCCCTAAATTTTGCACAATTTGTAGCTAGCCCTTCGTAGGTATCCTATATTGATATTCGGACATTGATGCTAATCGGCCCCTAATCGATTCGTATTCCGATCCTTCCGCAGAGCTAGCATGGTGGTGGTGCTGAACGGCGTGTTGGCCGACGAGTGCCCGACCTCTGTGAGGGCTCTACTGGCCGCCCACCCGGGCTATAGGGACGCGGCGGCCCAGCTGCTGGCGGCGGCGCCCCGCGTCGTCGGCCCCCAGGGCCTGTTGTACGTGGCGCAGAGGGAACTCGCCGCCGCCGTACCGCACGACAGTAAGCATTGATCCGTTCATCTTTCTTTTTGAAGTTGGATTGGAATGTTACAAATGTACTCGATACATTCCACGTGGTCCGTACTTCATGCATTGTGATACTTAATACATTTCAATTGTTCTGTACTTCGTTCATTGTTTTTATAAAGTTGTTGGAACATTACAAATGTACTCGATACATTCCATCTAGTCTGTACTTCATGCATTGTGACACTCAATACACTTCAATTGGTTTGAACTTCGTTCATTGTTTTTATGAAGTTATTGGAATGTTACAAAAATATTTGATACATTCCATGTAGTCTGTACTCCATGCACTGTGATACTCAATACATTTCAATTTGTCTGTACTTCATTCATTGGGGGCGTATAAATGCAAACTCTTTCGTCATCAGTGGAGACGCGTCACCAGATATATCTGAGCATAGTCGGTGGACTATGCTCAGATATCTCTCTCTGTACAAGGGAGGTCTTTACCAAGCAGTAAGACTTGAAATGAGGTTTTTTGTTATAATAATTAGCCAGTTGTCTATATAGAAATTCTAAGTTTTTTTTACACTATGCATTCGGTATTATATTGTATTATGTTCTACTTTCCAGAAAACGTCAGCATCATTGGATCGGACGACGCCACGTCATGTATTATTGTTGTCGTGAGACATTCAGGTGAGTTTATATTTTTCTGCTTAATCGAAGTAAATATACCTATTAAATAGGCCTCATTTCAGTGGTCAAACAGTATACAATTTTCATGTTTTTCATGTATAAAATTTATTGCGGCATTAAAAGACCAATCTTCATTGCGTAGTTTTAAAGATCTAAACATACATAGGGACAGACAGACAGCGGGACGACTTTGTTTTATACAATGTAGTGATATCAGAATATTTTCAATCTCCTTCGGTAGGGTCTGGTGCGGTGGCGTTGGCCCACCTGGACGGGTCCGGCACCGCGGACGCGGCCGCTGCGATGGTCTCGCGCGCCCTCCACCTCGCCGCGGGCTATCCGGAGGGGCGTCTCGAGCTGCAGCTGGTGGGCGGGTTCACTGACCCCCACCGCTACTCGGACGAGCTGTTCGCTAACATCATGCGTGAGTCCCTCAAGTTACAATCAACGCGGAACGTTGGCAGCCCTGATTGCCGATCAAGATTGTAGTCGTCTGTTTTGCTTTTGTTTTACTTTCGCCTTTCGTCTGGTCACTGAGATAACCGGGGTAATAGATTAGCAACTTATCTGCCACACGCTGCAGGCTGCAATCATTCAACATCAGGTTAACAGCCGTCGTTTGCCAGCTATTCACATGAAAAAAAAAGCTCGCTTGTATAAAATAGTAGTATTTATTTACTAAATATTACTTCGAACCGGATTAGTTATAGAAACATTTCAAAATGCTCTCTGCTCTGTCACCTATGTTCTTTTGCCACTTCTGTTGACTCACCCATTGAAGCTTTCTTCGTCTCCCACTCAGTTTAGGATTCCAATAACTGCTATAATCTGAGAAATACATTGGAGGTCGAGAAATTATTGTGTATTTTTCATTTACATTGAGTGTGTGGTTTTCTCAATTATACATTTGTGTATGTGTAGAAATTGCTATCAAACATAGCGGTATGCACTTGAAAACTTGATTGAAACATGAACACAACACGACTTCATTAAGCAATCTGGGCACAGATTGTTAGCCGTTATATTTTAGTCTTCAATGGTTTATATAAAAAAAACGTACGGTATATTTCACAGTTTTGTGTGTGTAGAATTATATTTAAATTTAACATCGATTTTGAAGTTATCATATTCCTAATTCCCGTAGATCTTCTTTATTCGTGCTAAATTTGCCATTCCCAAAACGTGCCATTCCCCCGTCAACTGGCTGTGGAATTGGTATGTGGTACACGCCGTTTACGCTTCTTCTTGTCTGTAACTCTTCCAGAAGATCGACCACGGTAGCCATTTCTGGCTATTTTTTACCATCCCTGTATACATATCGGTCCCAAAAAGGATTTCCCACAGTAGCGTTTAACCGGCTGTCGAAAGAGAACGATCTAGTCCAAAAGAGCCTTTCTCCAGTGTCGTTCCACCAACTGTCTAACGAGATCGACCTAGCCAAAAAGGGCTTCCCTCCCACTGTTACGTTTGGGAAGATCGACCTAACCAAAAAGGGCTACCCTCCCTCAGTTACGTTCGAGAAGATCGATCTAGCCAAAAAGGGCTTCCCTCCCACAGTTACTTTGGGGAAGATCGACCTAGCCAAAAAGGGCTTCCCTCCCACAGTTATGTTCGGGAAGATCGACCTAGCCAAAAAGGGGCTTCCCTCCCACAGTTTCGTTCGGGAAGAGCGACCTAGCTAAATAGGGCTTCTCTCCTACAGTTACGTTCGGTAAGATCGACCTAGCCAAAAAGGGCTTCACCCCCACAGTTTCGTTCGGGAAGATTGACCTAGGCAAAAAGGGCTTCCCTCCTACAGTTACGTTCGGGAAGATCGACCTAGCCAAAAAGGGCTTCCCTCCCACAGATTCGTTCGGGAAGAGCGACCTATCTAAATAGCGCTTTCCCCTTCCCCACAGTGTCGTTCCACCGTCTGTCCGAGGAGATCGACCTCACGCTGGCCTGCTGCTGCGAGCTGAACACGGCGCTCGGCGGGGGCTCCCCCGCGCCGCTGGTCACCGGCGTGGGCGTGGACGTGCGCGCCGGCGACCTCTTCCCGGCGGCCTTCCCCGACAAGGGGCCCGAGCTGCCGCTGCGCGCCGCCCGCACCATCACCGGCGGGCCCAACTCGGCGCAGGTACAAACCTCCAGGACCCTTTTTAGGGTGCCAGGGGTATGTGGGAGTCACTCCCCCGTACAAGTGGCAGGGGATCCATAAAGGATTTTTCCTACGAAAAAAAAAATCAAAAAAGGGGTAGGAACGATCAAGCGCTGTCAACGACTGTTGGGATTGTATTGTCTTGCTTCTTGTTGGTGTATTTAACGGCTCACCAGCACCACATCACGCACACTATCGCACTACTCGACCGCTCCGCTCGACTGCCGAAACGCGACTGACAAGTGACGCAGGCGCATAAGACTACCCACAGTCCACCCAATACACCACAGGGGTGCGGTCCGCACCAAACCTCGACATCCCGTAGGCGACACTCCTTAGCTGACGCACGCGTGGCCCTACCAACTGTGGTAGGGCTTTTTTTTTTTGGAGAAAAAGGAGGAGGCAAACCAGCAAGAAGGTCACCGACGCCTATGGACATGGCAATGTGGGTTGGGTCACAGTTGCGTTGCCCGCCTTTAAGGTAGAAGAAGTATATTTAAGGACGATCGTATACTACCTTTTAGGCACAGGAATAGAGGCTACCTAGCCCTAAGGCTTGGTGTACACTTGCTGGTGACCAGGTAGCGTGGTAAAGCGTCGTTTACGTTTTGACAGTTTAGTACACGCTTTAAACTGGCTCACATGGCTGTTTAATTTTAATAAACTAGACGGCTTATGTTCGTCCAGTTAGTTCATAACGTAGACAATAATGTTATTATCTCTTTCTTGACTAACCGTTAATCTGGGGACCGTCAACTGGTTTAATAGTTAACGACGAAATAACACTTCGATTCGTTAATTCAAAGCGCATCTCTACTGTGCTACAGACACGAAACAATGGACGGCATAACTAATGATAGTGAATATTCTTAACTAGAGAAATCCCTAGGCGTTAAACTGTGATAATCATTGTAATAATTTAATTAATTTCATATATGCGATATATTTCTATATGTTTATTTTTATTTATAAACCCAACCAGACGAGAAAGCAAATAAATATCCCCACTGTAATAATAATCAGGTGCTTGACATATACGACAACGGCGTCGGTATGCTCCGCATCGGTCCGTTCACGTACGACCCGCTCCGCGGCGTTGACCTCTGGCTCGAGCAGTCCGACGACTTCATACTGCAGCACCTCAGCACCACGCCGAGCGTCGAGCCGCCACACTTCGTGCACCATGTAATGTCTATGCGATTACTTATTCCTTAACACACATATACCGCCGTGATAGCTCAGTGTCACATCTGTTTCTCAAAAACTTTAATGAAAAAGGTATGTGATTATCCTGTGTTTTGCGTCCATTGCACGGATGCAAATACCAGACCCACAGGCATTATGAGAATGTTGTCTGTATTAGAGTGTGCTCTTATACCATAAAAGTTTTAAAAACGTAAGTTTTACATACGAGCTTTGCAACTCAGTAAAATTCAAATAGTGGGAAGTGCCCCCACTATTGAAGGAAGTATTAGATGGCGCGGCGATCGAGGGATGCAACATAATATATTTTTTATATATAATATATATTCGTTTATTTAAATTGTATGTTTTTTAATATAGGACTTAACAAAATATACGTGGAATATACTCCGAGTTGGTTTCGTTACTGCCACAAGCGTTATATATGTTTTCATATTATTTTGAGGCGTGAGGTCATCATCTAAATATGTGCAAAGTGTTAGAAGTCTCAACCACTGTGGATAAAGCAAAGGTTATAATATAATCCGGCACTTTCAGGAAAAATTTTGGAGGTATTTTTTCTTTTATTTATCTGCATACATGAGATCAATCTAAGCAGTAAGATTTTTCTCGTATAAATTGAAGTTTTATTTGTATTTACACTTGAAACGTGCATCCTTCTCAGATCCGGGTAACCCTGAAATTCATCCAGCAACACCCGTTCCCGGCGGTGACGGTATTCCCGGATAACCGGTCGCACTACTACCGGCGCGACGAGCAGACTGGCTGTTGGGTGCCAATGCGCTTCTAGTGCGTTTCAAACGTACCCAGTGACAGCTGTTAATGACAGATGTTGCTAAATCTGACAAACCAACTGACAGCTGTCAAATGCTAAACCGAGCTCTCTGAAATTTTGACAGATAAGACTGAGTGAGCTCTTGACTATGACACGGGACGAAATGGGCTTAAGCCCTTTGGGTCGATACGTTGGTCGGTACTTTTAACTTTCCAAGCGAGAGGTTTTTGGTTTTTTTTATTGCAATAACAAAGTAGTTTTTGTTCTTGAAAGTTTTGCATATTTTTGTATCATTTTCTAAAAATTTTGATACTATAATCTTTTGATCATTGTTTGAGTATGAATCCTTAAATATTTGTTCTATTAAGAATTCATTATTAAACTCATTGTATCATTAGACCTTTTAGTTCCTAATTATGATTTTCGTATAAGGCTTTTTGGTTTAGAAGTACCAACCGACAAGGGGTTGCTAACAAAATACCGACCGGCGTATAATTTAAAGATTTTTATTAATACATATCTTAGTTAATTAGGAATTTATCCGCTTTTGAACTTTAAAGAAAACGTTGAATGTTGATGATGTTGAAAAAAATCTTTTTTTTGCGCGGTGTATTATATACAGAGATTGAATTTCTTTGTATATTATAAAGTTATAAAGTTGTAATTTTTTTTTTCAGAAATTAATATAATTCTAATTCTTACTAATCATAAGGCATTCTAATGCCAAAAAAGTAAAATTTTTATAAACAAATATTAATTTTAGTTATGGACACAGAAGTTAAAGATTTTTTTTTGTTTTGATTTTCTACCAGTGCTACATTTAGCCAGTTTATTATGAAGCATAATATATACTATTACGGTTATATGTATTATTGAGTTACGATTTTATTGATTTTTTTTAATTATAACACTCTCTGTTCTCGTTATATATTCAAGGTTGAAAACCCCAGTAAAAAAAATAATGAGGATTCTAATATATCCTAGAAAAATGTAACAAATATTAGAAGAACGATTTCTTATTCCAATAAATGAAAAATGAATTTCTACTTAATACTAAATTCTGCACTTTGTTCTAGATATGACACAATTGCAAAAACTAAAAAATAATTCCCGTGTGACTAAAGCATGAGCTGTGGTGGCTCAAACAGGCTGAAATTATGATGATGATGATGATGAATTAAAAACTACTGCAAATTAATTTGTAGTTTTCAACACCATATATAAATGCGTCAAATTAATGTTATTGAAATGTACTTGGTAATGTGTATAAATACACACGGAAGATGTAATTGCTTGTTAAATGTATTGACTTTTTTAATTGTATATTTTGCCTTTTTCTGTATCCACGTGTACAATAGTTTTAATGAAAACTACGTCTTCATAAGCATTATTGTTTCGAGCTGAGAAGAAAATAGAGCGCTATGAATTTAGTTTATTTTTGATATTTGCGAATGGTAATCCATTCAAAAGGCAGTTTCGGAGTGAACTTATGTTGTAAATATTATAGTGAACAAATTAGATAATAATTAGTTATTGAAGTTGATAGTTATTTGTTTTGTGAAATATGATGAATATATTGAAAGTTCGATATTTACGCAATGTTTTATTTTATTAATTGATGCCCAACTTATTCAAGGTCAAATTTTTTTGTGCCGAGATTAAATGAAAATCACATCACCTACGTTCAATTGTAGGTAACGTCAATTTGAAGAATATTTTTTTACCTGAATGTTTTGTATCTTTGTTTTTAACTAATGAATTGCGCTATATATTTTATTATAATATTAATATATTTCGTATTTGATCCTCTCTTGAGACGATAAAAAGATTTGCAATTTTGCTTTTAAGGATTTTTGATCATATTGTTTTCTTGATTTTTGATCAACATACCTTACCGTGGCCTTATGTAACTGCCAAATAGATTGATGGTTAAAATAGAATCTGCTTTGGACCGAAATATGGAATGCAAGGTAACAGAATCGCAACTGTCCATTAGACAAAGACTGAATCGCTATTGAAAAGTATAAAAGTAAAGTCATGGATTTTTCGGCTAGAACACAGTAGTAAATTAGTAGCGGTCGATACGGACTACGCGTACTTGATGAGAACTCTTGCATCCCATATTGGTGCTTTAGCCGGATCAGGTTTTACAAAGTATTTATAGCTTTCAAAATATGTTTTACAGCATGGCTTTATGATAATTTTTTATTAGAAGAGTTTTTACAAACGGATGATATTGTTGTCTTGTGAACTGGGATCGTGCATAAAGAAAATCTTAGTATCTGACTAGGCCAGACGGCTCGAGGCCGCGAAAATTATTGTTATTTTATCTACACCATAGTAACCATTCCTTGTCCTAAGATCTTGTCAAGATGTCCCACCCGAAATGAGCCAAACTTACAGGCGTTGGCTATCTATTTGCGCTGAGGGTTGCTCTTTTACGGTGTCCTTGGCTTGTATTTTTAGATTTCGGCTCTTTGTCGGCCTCGTGAGAGCGCGAAGTTTCAGGTCTGGCCGAAAGGGTTTAATTCACATCGGTGCAATTATTATGTACCGACCTTTGGTTGTTCTGATGTGACGGAAAACCCGTGTGATCAGCGCTGGTGGTGGGAAAATAGTCGTAAATAAGCGTTTCAGTCTTGCAAGTCGCGTGCAACACAATTCCGAACGACATGGGTGTTTATTTTAATGGGAGGCATCTTGTTTCGCCCTCGTTCCTGATAGACACAATGGTTTTGTTGTCGCTTTGTAACAAAATCGTTCTTTTCGAGCACAGATGCTTCCTTCGTTATCGCAGCTAACACTGTGTATTAGAGATGGTGCGTATTTAAGTTACCAGGTATTGATACCAGGTATTTCCTTTCAAGAATACCAACCAGGTACTGACCCGATATACTTGCGAGACTTGAAAGTATTTTTCCATTATAGCCCTTCAAAGTAAGTATTACTACGTCGATCGAACTCTTAACATCGAACGAATCGAAATTCCAATGTATTTTTCTCGGAACTCGTCTCCCTCATCGTTCGGTGCTATTCAGCTGGGTTCGGGGCGTGCGCCGTGCAATGGCGAAGCAATGTATATCGGTCTCGCCTGGTGTGTCTCTCACACTTGATTAGATAACTTATATTCATACTCATAAGATTCAGATTGTGCTTATACGTGAAATAAAATACTTTCAAAGATTTTACGTCTTGATTGAAATATTTTGAATCTAATTTGTATAGTAACAAGGTTTAAACTTGCAAGGAAACACGTATTCGACTCGTTGCGTTGGGGACATAAAATACTTTGAAAGTATGTTGATACCTGGTTTCTGTACCTGGTATGAGAAGGTGGACATACTTTTAAGACCTGGTACGCAATTTAGTAAGTATAACCCATCCCTATTATGTATGTCTCGTAAGCTGCAATGCAGGCCGTTTTCTGACGTTGACTCCATTCGCCTTTTATCATGGATTAACTTTATTTTTTCACTATTTCTCCCCATTTCGTAGTCCGAAGTATCTGTTATTACACAATTCGCTGGACGTGCTTTTCGATGAATTAGAGCTTGTTGGTTTATATTTTGTTACCACCACATCAACTCGGTGCGAATTTCCTCGTTGTATAAATGAGCTTTGTGTGTTGTATTGAGGAGGTTAATGTATCCTTGCAATGTTCGACAATGCAACCTTCCTCGGTGGGTGGTTAAAAGGTGTTGCACCTATTTGAGGGTTCAACTGCCAGCAGCAAGATGAGTGGGCAGTATATGACGTTCTGAATTTTGCTAAATTTGTCCAGAGGTAGAGAAGCAGAGCTGTTTTTGGTGTCCTAGCAGTCCTTCACGGCGCGGTGACAGATTTCTCTGATAAGTGTATCATCATGTAAGTAGTGATCTTAGACTGTTCATAAAATGTAGTGCTAATTTTCTTTATAATTTTAAGATATTTCTGCTCTTGTGAACAATGAATGTTTTGGTACCATAAACTAAACAATCGCCTTGCGTAGAGAAAACAAAGTTATCTAGCGAGATTTAAAGTCTTCAGATTCAAAATCAATCGCCTTGTATAGAGAAACCAGTTATCTAGCGAGCTTGTTTGGAGAGAGAACGAAGCGAATTTTCTCCTAATCGATCTCCTTTCGGACGTCAACCAAACACAATAAAAAGGTATTATTTCGAAGATTATGAAGATTATTAAAGAATGAAGTCTGCCAATCCGCGGTGAGATCCCGTGGTGATCTATATAATCTAAAATCTTTTCTACAGACAACTTGTAGGTAGTCTTTGGTCAGCACTGACATGCTGAGCAAAGACTACATTAGCCGTATTATAGCTGAAACCTGGCGACGTATGTTTCGGCACCTACGGTGGTCTTTATGTAATTAGTGCTATTTTATACTATAGGTATGATAATCGCTATCAAAATTACCGTTCAAACGTGTTTCAAATACAGTGACATCACACGCTCACACTTCGTTTATCGTAGCTTTCTCATACTTTACAAATGGTTTAAAAAGGATAGTGTAATTGAAGCGATAAGAAAAAGAGTACGATAGGGCGCGATTTTATACAAAGATAAATGGAATCGTGGTTTCTTTGAGAACTAATCTAACTAGTTTAAAAGGATCTTTCTTTTATATAAAACACTAACACTGCAAAAGAAAAAAAAAATCAGTTTACCATATAAAACAATAACACACATTTATGTTATTTTATTATTTATTCGTTTATTTATTGTGTTACTAAGTCAAACCTCATTAGTTAGAAACATGAATGAAGAAAAATTAATTACAAATAATTAGATTTGCAATCGCGTCGTTTAAATAACTATTTTAATGTTTGAGTATGTAACTTTTTATATGAGTGATTAAGTACCATTTCAATTATTTTATATCAAATACTAATTGAGATCCCTTGAATTTTGTTAAATTTAGATTACCAAGGGTATGTCTTGGTAGTTAATTGTTGGTAAGTACGACATCTTATAAAGACACGACGATATTTTAATTACTGATACCGCGTCTTACTAGTCACTCGCCACCTTCCCTAAAGCCCGATTTATATTGCTCAAGTGTTAAGTGAAGTAGACAAGTGAGTAAGTACAGTGGTGTAAGCCATCGGACAGTACCTACGGACCATAGATAAGACATATATACTGAAACTGCTACGGACAGACTGACTGCCTTGTAACTAGACCCAAATATAATCGCTTTCTACATGCAAGTGAACCCCTCGCGCGTCCGCTTAACCCCCGGGAGGCACTCATCGCCGTAGTGTAAAATTGTAAATAGTCAAATTAGTACTTGTACTAACTTGACTGTTTACACTATGCAATTTTGTTGTCTAAACTTTGCAATTTTGCTTACACTTTATTTCCACTTTGCACTTTTGGCCCAGGGACCAACAACATACAACAAAATTGCACGTAGTTTTTGGCGTTGCTCGTCCATTTGGAAATGCCACTGTATTTGCTGTAGTGTAAACAGACACTTGACCGGTGCTCGCCACTGTACTCGTACTCGCTAGTCGCTACGCGACCTTGACTTGACCAATGTTAATCTCGCTTTATCATGCATGAACCAAAAACATAAAATGTCACAGTACCACAGAGTAGGATTAAATATTGGTAACCTAAAAACGAAAAAAAGAAATGAAAATATAGTAGCTGACACTAATATTAAAAAGAAAACATTAGTTTTAATTTTTACTGTAGGTATTTATTGTAAGTGCACTCACGCAGCAGTCCTAGTTGCCTCGAAGTGCTGGCCGGACTGAAAATCGGTGTCGGGATCAGAACGACCTTTACTTATTATTATTATTTTTTGTTTGTTTTTGTTGTTATGTTTACATTTATTTTAAGTTTTTCCAATAATATTTGATATACTGTGTAGTTATATTATTTTTTAAGTTTTGTATGTATCCATTGTGCTTAGACCGTGAATAAACGTTTCTTCTTCTTCTTCTAAAACGTAATGTTTATATCCTCTTTGAGGTGAACTAAAGATAAGGCGTCCCAATTAAGACGTTTTCGTGACAACACTTCAGGTGCTGTAGCAACATATCAATTCATTGGTAATTGGTCAGTCTTTCAAATGTAAGCAGTTGTTAATAGGGAGACAAATAATTAGACTTTAAGACGAAGACGATCAATTTGTAAATGTTGAAAAAATATATGAACTACATCTATAACATCTTCAATAAATTCCAATTGAGAAATTAGATTTATATACGTATAAGTATAATATTATACGTGCACAGATTTTCACATTTTTCGGAACAAAATCGCTAACTAGAACATGTGCCAATATAATGTACCAAGTGCCAAAGGAAACCATCAAACCATAGACATGTAGACGTTGTAGACAAAAGGTATACATAAAGGTAACACAAACAAGATTTTTTTTTTGGATTTTATGGCCCGCTAGCACAAACAAGATCCGCACTCAACATAGGGATGCCGAAAGTGAAGATATATATCGATATAGCGATATTTATTAAAATATCAATATCGGCCTCGATATATCGAAGAGAATACCGATATTTTCTTTTTAGGACCTGTTGTCCAAAAGAAAAAAACGTAAGCCAAGTAATAAACGTTTTAATGTAAGGACTCTGTACCGGATTCGAATTTGAAAAAATATCGTTTTTGATACGATTTCAATATTGAATATCGGATCGATGAAAATATGGGATGAAAATATATCGGCTAAAATATCGAAATATCGATATTTTTTCGCATCCCTAACTCACCAGTCAGTCAGGCAACTTTGATTTGACAATTTTGACATCTGTTGTTAACTTGTTATTATAATTGCACAGCTATTACGTTTCCGATTTCATCTAACGAAACGTTTTAAATTTAGCAAAGGTGGTTCGTCAAAGACATTCAAATCTCGTGGAGAAAACCATGGAAAAGCCAAATGTAACCGTAACGGATCAGCCCCCACCGTATTCCGCTACGGTGCCACCTGGTAAGCTTACAATGCAAACTATTTCACTATTCTGGAACATAATGGTAATGAATCACAATGTTCAGTTTTCATTGATAAGGTTTATTAATGCTGCCTGAACTACATATCATTGTCTTGACATGTTTTTCATAATTAATTTTGTAAATATCAAACTACTTTCGCTACTTACATAGGGTTGATCAATTCACCGGTATTATAGCCGTCAAATTGATCTAAAATATAAAATAAATTATGGGCTAAGTAACAACTAACTAAGGCTTGTGGCTTCTTTGCATTTTTGAAGTTTTAAAGTTTATTTACATAGCTAGTTTACAGATTTTGTCGTGATTTATTTTTTCATTTTAAGTTTCTGGCGTTTCAAATACCTTACATTTTACCGACTGTCTAATATTCGCATATATAAGAGTAATAAGTATTTAAAAGTTTCATTTTATCTATATTTCCTAAAGATAAATTAATAATGTCTTTAGTGTTTTGTAAATGGCTTTTTTGCCAGTTTTGTTTCTTTGTGCAACAATAGATAACAGTATTCATTATAATGGATGTTCAAAGAATGTGGAAGTGTTGTGTTGCAGAGTGGAGGTTAAGAGCTGCTTTTACTATAATATATTTGAAGAAATTTGTTTTATTTTTCTAGTCATACCTATATAGTTGCTATGTTATCTGAAAGTCATAATTTTAAAGCTGCTATTATATGCTATGGTTTTGTTATGGATTAGTCACTGGCTACTATGGAGCCATATTTTCATACCATGTCATTGTTTTATTACTTTAACACCCAGGACACTAAATAAATTTTTGTGTATTCAGTTTTTATTCTCATAAATATAAATGTGATTGAAAATTTTTATATTTCTCATCTAGTAAAATTGTTGTGCTATACTGAATATTATATTTTTTTATATCATACAAATAATAAAATAGCAAAGATTTCGGGATTTCTAAATGAATTCTATTTAATGGGTTTTAGACAGTTTTTTTAATGTTCACCTTTCATAAGTTTTCTGTTTACCTTTATAATAATATAAGTGGTTTAATTTGGAGCAAGTTTAAGAGAAGTGTAAGAGCTGTATTGACACAAATATTACTTGTATTTCAGGTCCCATGCCTCAGCCATCACCTCAGCCTGCTGGCATGCAGGGTGGAGCATATCCTCCTCCACCACCGGGTTACACTCCATATGCGAGCGCCCCACCACCCACAGCTTTTGTTCCCAACTATGGTGCCACAAATATTGTTATAACGCCACCTATAATCACAGTAGGAGCTTGTCCAGCATGTCGAGTAGGAATTCTTGAAGATGATTTTACATGCCTTGGCATACTTTGCGCCATCCTCTTCTTCCCTCTAGGGATCTTGTGCTGCTTGGCAATGAAAAACAGAAGATGCTCAAACTGTGGAGCATTGTTTGGATAATACATGAATACTATTACTTCATTATGTGCATTGCATTATGGTTTCATGAGATATACAAAAATATGATACAAAGTTAAGTATATAAGGGTAAATGTAAATAACTTTAACTCCGGCGTAATTCAAATCAAATAAATTTTAAACGTTCAATGAATATTTTTCTACACCAACACTGTATCCTACATACAAATATATAGCATAATATAAAAATATAGACTTCAGTTAATTGATATAGTAATTTGTTTAAGAGGTAAGCCTTTGATTATATCTTTGTAGTACTTAATTGGAAATAGATAACATTCAAAGTGCCTCATAATCAACAAACAATGTATGTATACAATAGTTTGAGAATGAATTAATGTTGCCTCTGCACTGTATACTTGTAAGTTTCATTTCTTTGGAATTATTCGATTAAACATATATTAAAATATCTTTTGACCAAAACTTAAACAGACAGATTTGACTTGACAACATTCCATGGTTCAGACATTTAGAAGATTAATGTAAGGGGACATTACTTTCATACTTATCTAAAAAATAAAATGATTACAAAAGCTGTAAAAACGTTGTTTGAACTATCTTCTGATGAATATTATGTGACTAGAAACAAATACTTTAGGTATTCTTTTTATCATTATTTTATTTAAATATATATTCTGTTTTGAAAATAAGTTTCATACACATTCATGGGATATTTTTTTCTCCCAAAACTAAATGTATATTCTTAAAAATTAAGATTGGCCATTATAAATAGCTATAATTATATGTAAAAGGTTTTTAAACAAATACTTTGGCAATGATGAAAAAGGAAAAAATTACATATCATATGGTTACACATGCATTAAGTTGTGATTGATAATTTTGTTCTTTTATTATGAACAACTTAACCATCATTATAATGACAATAATTCTAAAGAGTCTAATATTCTATCACAATTTTTTTTAACAAATCAAGATTAATGGTCCTTCATTAAACTTTAGAATATCAGTTTTTATTTGATTGTGTTAAGTTAAACATTAGAAAAATCTAATTGTTTGTGTACTTATAAATTGTTTTGGGAAATTTATTGAATTTATAATCTTATAATAGTATGTAGTATATTGTGTTAATGCCATAAAGCTATATATAACTGTGATTGATTTATAAATATATACCAAATTATGTAGATGTTGCTTTGAGAAAACATTTCATTTTCATATTATTAGTAGAGAATAGTACTGATATTGTAGGATTAAAGTAAACAAGTTTAGATGTGTGTAACATTGAATTACTTATCACTTATTGTTTTTAACTTGTTTATCCTCCAAAAATAGGGCAGGCAATAAAATACTTGTTAACAATAGTTAATAAAGGCAGCAGTTTGTTTTCATGCTCACAGATCTTAAGAATGAGTATAAAACTTTTTAAACATTGTTTTGAATTTCAAAATGAGATCTGCTTCTTTTTTGACAATACACTGTTAAATTAGTAAGTACAATATAAATATACCACTGATTGTTGATTTAAACAGCCAAAATATGCCTTTCTTAACTGTATTTATATTTAAGATAGATGTTATAGTTATTTAAATAAGTAAACATAAATTGCATTATATGAAAGTTATTGTATTTCTATAATCTTTTGAAAATAAAGTTTGGGAAAGTAATTGATATGAATTTTTAGCATCTACATACCTCCTCAACATGCTAACACTTTTTTTTTGTGAAAGATTGCAAGCGAACATATGATTTACCTATTTGTACTGGTAAGTGAATACGGATGTACCAACAAATACACATTGTATAGCCAACATTTAAAAAGAATAAATATGTCTATGTATTACCTGGAGGTGGCGGCCCACCTCACAGCCTGCCTTAGGAAAAACTAACAGTATTGCTACATTTTTACTTACAATGGTTTTATAGAAGCTATATTGTTAAAAGCCTTTATTACAGAAAGTTCATGTATCATACCCACTTTAAATATTCGATTTTTTCCCCGATTGTTAGTAACATGGCTGTTCTCTTCATGTTGTTATCATCATTTTGACAACCCAACTGGCGTAGTGGGTAGTGAGCCAGCCTCTTGTGCCAAGAGGTGTGGATTCGATCCTCAAAACTGGAAAAATATTTGATGAGCTTAATGTTTTTCCAGTTTCTGGTTGATTATATTCTGTTTATATATATCTGTATATGTATGAATTTATTATCTATGTATTTATTTACAAAAGAAAAGTATGTTTAAGTGTATTTATCAGTAGCACTGTCTGATTTTGATGTGGGGGAAATGTATAGACGTCATAACCGCCCTCGAGGGGGCAAGAGCAGGTTATGTCAGACTCGCACCGACTAAAACCCAAAAGATTTTCCACCTAGGCGCATATCGGCAGGGCCACGGGAACGCTTTCGCACACTTCCGCGACCCTGCCAGCACTGGCCGCCTTAGCAGCGCCCTCCCGGGGAGCAACTCCCCTTTCCTCCAGGTAAGGCGCGCCGGAACATTCAGCGCGCCTTACTAGTTGGCCCCTTTCTCACGGCTAACGAACTCTCCCGAGTTCGATGACGCATCCAGAGTGGGCCCTCTCGGGTTGGCCCCCCATCCCCTCTTACACCTCAGACAGTCATGTAGGTTCTTCTTAGCTTCACCGTTGGTGACCAAGTCACGGCTACTAAGCCCCTCCGCCACGTCAAGGTGGGAACCTGGTCGGAGGGGGATTCGCCTAATAGGTAGCCGAGGCTACCTATTAGGCGAATAAATTTTTGACACTATCGTCATTTAAATGTGAAGTTTGTTAAACCAGGGAAAGCCGTGATAGCTCATTGCCCGGGTGCTCGCCTTTAATTCAATATACTCGAGCAACCTGAGTTCGATGCCCGGTGCCCGGTAAACATCGTGAGGACGTTTTCGAAATAATAAAAAGAAAACAAATGTTTCGAAGATATGTGAAGTCCACCAATCCGTAGTGGGGTCGCGTGGTGGACTATTTCTTTGATACCCACTGAACAGAGGAGGCATTTGCTTAGCAGTGTTGCAGGCTGTTACTTTACTTTAACAGGGAATAAAAGTTCGATGACGCTCGGTTAGCGCAGTAGCTAAGCGATAGTCTTCGCCGCTGAATCCGGCTTATAGACGCTTTCAAAATCAATTATTATTTTGCCAACAAACTAAAATAAGAACCATCAATTTTGAATATCCTTAACGCAAAATAACGATGACAAACTTACTCCTTAATCTTATTACTTATGTACGTGTCAATGATAAATGTTTGCGTAAATCAGAATTCACATTCGATAGAATCGTGACAAATTATACGGTCTGGCTCAGAGCCAACTAGAGCCCCTGCAATTTATAAAGTGACTTGGAACGTAAGGAATCTAATGGCTTCGCAGATAAGCGCCTTAATAAATTGGACGTAAGTAACGTCAAATAATAAAAGGATCTTATTTTGGACATCGAAGATAATTACAAATTAGGTATTAAGCAAAAACGGGAAAAATTTTCTCACCATGGAAGTATGGCTTTTCCACCACTGCATAAACGGTGTGGCCCCACCGAGTCGGCGGAGGACAGGGAGAGCGGCCAAATGCAATACCTACACTCCTCTTCCAAGGCTCAATGAGCCGACTCGGGGCGGCCCTCTTGAGTCGGCCATACATTACAGGCCCAGTATGGACTATGTACCCAGTGTGGGCTTCGCCGTGCCTGACCAAGCCACGGCTGCTAAGCCCCTCCGCCAAGACAAGGTGGTAACCCGGTCGGAGGGGAGGGGATAACCTACCTACCCTGATTTCGTACTTTTTGCATGTTTTAAAGTCGGTTTCAACTTTGTGACTTTTATTTATTATACGTTATCCTTTAATTTGAAGTTTTTCAGTCGGTGCTATATTAAGATATTACATATTACTTTGATCATTTTATTTTTGTATACAGAATACTCGTATACATAGATACAACGTAAGGATTGATTCATTTACCGATATCCGTAAGGTGTTCCGGAGTTGTCGAATATACTTAGTATAGGAGGTGTTACGGATATTGGTTATAAGTTTTGAGTTCTTTAGTTTACTAAACAAAAAAAAAAAGGATTTTTCCGTATCATGTTTGAATAATAAAAAAGGAACTACTATGCCTTAAATCCCACGAGGCGACCTTTTATCGGATTGGAAGTTTGGAATGGAGATAAAGGAATATGCAACTCTTTGTCTGAGAGAAACAGCATAATATTATGTAAAAATATTGGACAGTATATCTTAATGTAACGTACGAAAATTCTAAATTTTATTACACGCAGTGGTTCTTTGTGTTCGAAAGAACAAAATGGTTTAATAAATTTCACGGTCCTTTCTTACAGCGAAAAATTTATGGCAGTTCGGATAGTTTTCTGGGATAATTTTCTACTCGTATAATTTAAAGGTTTAACCAATTATGTGAAATTCTTTAAAATTCGGCCATTCAATGTCTAAAATTAAACTCTAACCATTCGATGGTGTAGAAACCAACTGATTTACATAAAAGTACTTTGGAATAATCAAATTTCCAAAAAACGGACTGTATCGACGTTAGTTTCGTGGCGGAAATAGCTGAGATTTAAATACAAAATGTCCATAAAATTCATATTTTTAAATACCTATTACGAAATAGAAGCAGTTTTTTTGGTTATCGTTTAAAATTGGTTAAAGCTGCAGTTTTTAATTGAATATATACAAATAGTAATATATACAATAAATAAAATAAGGTGGTAATTTAATGGTGCGGTGACTAGATATATAGAAATATATAGTAGTCTACTATGTTAAAATAATATTAACCATAATTTTTTATAGCAAAAGCGACGATTCTCGTTACCAATATTCATTGGTAAGGGTTATTTGTGCGGTAAAGTATGTACAATATATGATGCCAATTATTGTTAAAAATGAATTAAAAATAGATCGATGTCAAAGTTGTGGCTAGCGGCTGCTCAGCTTAGGTAAAGCGTCTAGGCGCGTTATCCGAAACATTCCGAATCCCACTCCCGATA